CTTTAATGTTAATTTCCTTTTTTCGCGTATTTCGCAATATCCCGGACTTATGAAACGAATTAATAATGAAGCGAATTTATCCAAAGATTTTTGTTATTTTTAAATTTTTATTATTTAACCAATTATCGAAAAAATTTAAATCGCAAGGTGTACAAATTATTACACTAATTTAATCACAATAGTTTTAAGTGAAAAATTCGAAATTTTAAGACAATCGATCAATTAGTTCTTGAAAAATAAAATTTTAAGTATTTGACTTCTTAAAATTTTATTACCATTCGACTATTTGAATTCAAATTCAATATTTAGCCACTGAAAATTGTATAATTTAAAAATATGTAAAAATATGTATACCTAACAGTTCAAAACTTTTCTGACATTTATTAAATTAAATAATAATGAATAATTAAGTGAAATTGTTAGCAAGGGCTTGCGGATTTAAAAAAAATAAATTTTTTTCTTCTTAATTTTGAATTTTTTTTATTGTTTTATTTAACAATCACGGGGGAAAATTTTCAAAAGTATGCAGAGTTTGATAAAAAGGTTTTGTTATTATTAAAATAAACAATTTTAGTCAATGATATATATCAGTGTCAAATTTGAAACAAACGCGAGCTTTGACTCTGCATGTTCTTGGATAAAATGTATTGAAATTTATAAAAGACTAATTCAAATATATTTTCCCAAAACAATGCTGTTTTGATAAAAAAAAAATGATAAGCCGGTGGAATGTTTTATTCAATAAATGTGACGTCATTTGACCTCGAACAGACATTAAAATCATACTTATTTCCAGCGAGAATTGAAATACTTATTTTCTGATAGCCCAACTTTAATAAAATTTTCATAGAATCATAATACAAAGTAAATGCTATGACATTTTTTATTGTTTCTTATGTCCAATCAGGATTAAAAGGTATTTCATTTAAAATAACATTTTATATTATAGCATAACTGTTGAAGAAATAAATTTCAACGGAGATATTGTTGCGCAAAACCATGCCAGAATCAATTCCTCTAAAAATTAAGATCCGATCTGTTTATCGAGTCTAATTTGAAAGGAAAATAAAAACAAGAAGTTCGGAGAAAATAGTTCTCAATTTCCCGCAAAATTTTGTTTCCCAGAGTCATTCGTTATGCTTTAAAACCGATTCTTCATATTTTAGTAAATTTTCGTAAAAATATTAATTTCTTGATAAATAAAAATACTCAGTTCAAAGGATAGATTTTTAAGCATAAAATGGTCTAAAGTTAATGAATTTAGAGTAAACAGTGACAGAGATATGACTTTAATTAGAAATGTATATAAAATGACCATTTAAGAGGGGGTGGGATAGATGCGCAACGAGAATTGGTGAGGATTTTTTGAGAAAATTATTAGAGACTAACAGCCGACAAGTATTCAGCTTGTTCCTTTATTTTATTTTATAACCGTCGTTGAGTAGCTAACCCAATTTTATGGGTTTACGACTACTAAAGTTCAACTCTGCAGCCTAGTACTTTTGAATCCAATCCAGAAGATAAGGGAACTCCTGGATCAAGAATTGGGAGAAATTCTGCAGTACTAGACAATTGCTATATTAAATTGCTAACATCGTAAAATGCTTTGAATTTTATCACACTTTGGATAGCTTTACGGCATTTAAGTTAGAAGTAAAAAAATAAGTAAATAAACAAAAACGAAAAAAACAAAAAATTTCTAGAGCAAAGAAAACTGAAAATACAGCTAAAATTTGTTAAATACGTTTATGATTAAGAAAATGCAATTAAATACGAAATACAATTAATAATTTTATACTGAAGAATATAAAAGAATTTTTTCACAAAAACATGTCACGAGAGGAAATACTTCTTCAGGAAAGGGACTTTTAGAATTTAAGAGTAACGGGGTATACTAATAGCAAGTGACTTTACAAGATCATTATTTAAATTGTCATTCCAATATAACGGAGAAATGCTTTAATATTTTCTAGGGTTTCATTTATTAAATTGATATTATTAAGTTAAACGTGTTTATAATAAATTTCTAAAATAAATATAAAATCTTGGTTATATCACTTAGTTTAAGATGCCCAGCTCTGATTGTTGCGGAACATAGAACCAAAGCATTCCTTTTTTTAAATCATTTCCAATTAATTCATTTTTTCTGGTTAAGAAACTATATATGGTCCCATTCAGTAAAGTTGTCAAAAGCTTACTTTCACGCATTTCGTATTTGGTTCTTTTGATTCTCTTAAATTTAAATAAATCCAAATTCAAGAGAATCAAAATAATGTCAAATTATTTAAGAGAATTTAAAAAAAGTTTTGTACAACTTCATTTTCTTAAGAAAGTTCGATGTAAAATAATTTTTGTAATTACTTTATTTTTCAGTTTAATTAAAGGCTTTAAATATTTGTATTTTAAGTAATTCACAGTTTAAGGTAATTTTTAATTACTTATATTTTAAGTTAAAATATAACAAGTTTTATATGGAATCTATCGAATAGTTAAAGAAATAAAAATTTAAATGTACTACTTTTCGGAAGAATTATTCCTTAGAAATTATTTTACTTTTCTATCAATTATTGATTTTACATTAAAATATTTTAACTTATTTCAAAATTGGCATTTTAAACATTTTGAATAACCAACCATATTAAAGCATGTATATTTTAAAAAATAATTAGAATTCTACTCTGAAATTTTTTTTGAAAAAAGAACATAATCATCCTATTTTACCGTAATTCTGAAAGAGAATAATGTTCTCTGATTTCTGAATTAAGAAAAAAAAAACAGAATTAAGAAAGCAAAAGTTTGTCGTCAACAATATCCCTGCACTCAAAAATACTATTATTGCCCTTTTATCGAAGACACAGAACATTTGAAAATATCAACACATTCTGTATTCTTCTCACTCATTCAATTGAAACAGATCTAATAAAATAATTTGTTCAATAAATCGCAGCTTTTATTAAAGAAGGTACTTTATTTACGTCGCAATAGAGCTGCACAATGGGCTATTGGCGACGGTCTGAAAATATCCGTGAGGAAGACATGCCATCACAATCGTGATTCTGTGCAGAGGGGATCTCATTTGTGAGACCACTTCCTCAATTTAGACCTAGATCTAAAGGAAATTTTCTCCAGATCCCTGTAACCATGGAACTGCTCAGCAACTGACCACAGGACCTTAAACCTAATGTATCTTTCAAAAATAAGCAATTTTACTTGAATATTTTAACAAGAAAAAGCAATAGACTCCGGCCAGTGAAATAGTTCACAATTTCAAAGATTATATTAGTTTGGGTCATTTCTAAAGTTATCTTACAATTATTAACAATCTTTTGTTATTAATTTTCATGAGATATCATCCTTTTTATTTTGACGTGTTTAAGAAAAAGCTCAAAATGCGAAGAAAGTAGCCAGAAGAAATTGGACACCTATATGAGAATTGTTCTTTTTTTAATAAAGAAGTCCATTTCCCTAAATAACTTCGTATTTTTTAAAATTGGTTCTGCTTGAAGAGATTTTTACAAGGTTGTCTCTGGTTTATAGTAGGGACGTTAAATTTGCATTATTAGATTTTTAAAAATCACTTTTGAATATGATGAGATTGCCTGTAATGATTGCTCAGTGATTATGCTCTGAAAATGTTCCTTAACACACTATTTAATGACACACTATTAATTTTGAGCTGAAAAGACTGAGGAAATGTTTATTTTGGAACACTTAAAAACTGAAATCGTGAAAGAATATAACTTATAACGTATTCACTTATCATACATTTTAATTGGCTAATTACTTCCAAGAAACTTTTATTAATTGTCTTAAATTTGTTTTTTATTGCCTTTACAGTTTTTGTTAACCATTATTTTCATTGTGGTTTTCATTTTTTTCATTTTTTTGTCACTAAAATGTTTTTTTTCAGTATTTCTCGCTTAGTGACATGAACAAAAGTAGGTTGAGTTTTCCCCCCAAAGAAAAACACAGGAAATGCCATCCAGAATAGGTTAACATAATGATTTTAATTGTTTCAATAACTAAGATGACCTATTCCGAAGTATTAAACTTTCATAATTAATGTATACTTTATTGAATTTTAATACATTTTTTCCGGTGAGACAGGACATGTTTTACAATTTATTGAGTAAGTATTGCATTCGCAAATTGTTTAACATTTTTCAAACACATTTTTAGAAAAAAGCCAAGAAATTTTTCTAAGTGTCAATACAAAAAGTAAAAGATTAAAAAGCTATAAAAACTAGATTAAAGAAAAGCTAGCGACTAAAAAAGACATGTAGTATTACATGCAGTACAGTAACGTTATAAAAAATTATTATAATGAAACTTAATAGTTTGATACAAACAAATTTTACACTGATACAAATTTGAAAAAGACATACTCAAAATTTAATCTGTTTTGGAATCATTTTCTTCTAAATATATATTTAGTAAAAAGTTTTTGTAATGTTATGGAACAGATTTTAACCAGAAACTAAATCAAAATAGTTTTAGAGATAGTTTCTCCCCCCGTTTAATTGTAACATTCTTCGGTGAATGTTTATCTCAGACATTTGAGCTAAATTTAAGAACTGGACGAAATCTTTCGAATGCATGTCTTGAAAATATGCCATCAACTAATACTTTCTGCACAAACTGATCTTCTGAAGCAGATGAAAATCAATAAAGTGGCCTCATAAGGAAACAAGTTTTCCATTTTAATGATAGTAAAACCTTTCAACAACGAACATCTTAATAAGTACCGATTTTCTAGCTTTTTTGAAGCTTAAGGGGAAATTTTTATTTTATCATACTTAAAATTTTTCATTAAAATTTCCTGTACAAACAAAGAATTCTTTCTTACTATGATAATAAATTTTTTTTTCTGTATAAGATAAATGTAACGTGTTCAATTAATTTGTTAGAATAATCGCAAGATGTTCTTCAAATAAACTAGATAATCAGTAAATGACCAACCAGTAAGTAATAACTAAAAATTAAAGCAAAAATGTACGAACCATTATCCTCATATGGCGAATCATAAAGTGATGATACTGAAGAGCTTGAATCCCATGATTCAGAATCAGATGATGAGGAATATAAATTGACTGGATGTCCTATAACCAATCCATAACGGGTTGGTCGAGGACTCATGGGAGGTAAATCCTTTTTTCGTTTATGAACTGGTGATTTCACATCAACTATCTTGGCACTTTTTTCAGTTTTTTTAGTATTTTTGAGATCGGTAGTATCCTTAGGTTTTTCTTGCAAACCAGTTTTATTTGCAGTTTTGTTTGAGGTTTTAAGAGTATCAGTGTCCGTTACTTTATGTTCAAGTTTTACAGTTTCCTCTTTCTTCAAAACCTCGTTACAAAATTTATCTTTGACATCTGAAACCACTTTTAAAATTTTTTCTGGTAAATGTTTCAAAATAACTTCAGAAGTCTTAGTTTTAAATGACAGCTTATGTTCTCCTGTCTTATTTTCATTTGAATTGCAATTGCGATTTTGAACCGAAACCTGTTTTTCTTCCGATAAGCCAACAGGTTCACTTAACTGACTATTATTATCAGCATCTTTATATGTTTTTAAGTCACATTTTGAGCAGTCAGAATTATCTTTCCATCTCTTTTCCAATGGAACTAGTTTAGAAACGATTTTTTCTGAAGTTTCAACATTTGGAACAGTAGATGATTTTCTATAACGTTTTCTGGCAGTTTTTTCCTCAATTTCAGAAGTTTTACTTTCAAAAGTAGAGTTAATGTTTTCCGATGTTTTTGATCTGCACACTGAGCGTTTATCAAGTTTTAATTTTGGTTTATCACTGGAATTCAGAACTTCTTTATTTTCATTTCCCTTTTCAGCAATTTTCAAGGGAACTGAACCTTCAGCTCTGGATTCTAGTCCAACAGATTTTATTTCTGTAGTATCTGGTTTTTCAGATTTAACACTGCTGATATTTGGCTTGCTCAATTCTAAGGATTCTTTAGGATTTAGCTTTCTCAATTCCAAACAACATACTTTCGTATCAAGAGTCTTTAGTTTGCCTGATTCCAAAGAACTGTTTTTTATTTCTGATTTCTTAGATTCTAAGTCACAATTTTTAGGATCCAATGTTTTTGATTTATTAGATTCCAAATCACTAGTTTTTGGATCTATAGTTTCAAATTTACACCATTCCAAATCATCAACTTTTGGACCAATAGTTTTTGATTTACTTGAGTCAATATCACGAGCAGTATCCACAGTTTTTGATTTACTTGATTCAATATTACTAGCAGTATTCACAGTTTTTAATTTACTTGATTTAATATCACGAGCAGTATCCATAGTTTTTGATTTACTTGAATCAATATCACTAGCAGTATCCACAGTTTTTGATTTAATATTACTAGCAGTATCCACAGTTTTTGATTTAATATTACTAGTAGCATCCATAGTTTTTGATTTACTTGATTCAATATCACGAGCAGTATCCACAGTTTTTGATTTACTTGATTCAATATTATTAGCAGTATCCCCAGTTTTTAATTTACTTGATTTAATATTGCTAGCAGTATCTACAGTTTTTGATTTACTTGATTCAATATCACGAGCAGTATCCACAGTTTTTGATTTACTTGATTCAATATTACTAGCAGCATCTACAGTTTTTGATTTGCTTGATTCAATATCACTAGCAGTATCCACAGTTTTTGATTTTATGGCTTCCACATTACTGAATTTTGGTACTACAGCTTTTAATTTATTGAATTTCATGTCACTGGTTTTTGAATCAATGATTTTAGAATTACTAAACTCTAATTCATTTATTGATTCGACAGTTTTTAATTTACGAGAGTCTGAATCTCCTAGAGCTTTTGGTTTACTGGATTCTATTCCGGCAGTTTTTATTTCGACAGTTTCTAATTTTTCAGATTTTACATAGCTGGCTTTTGGTCCTAAGGGTTTCGATTTACTAATTTCCGAATCACTTAATTTTGACTCAATAGCCTTTAAATTGTTTGGTTCCGGGTCTCTGCTTTTTGGTTTTGAATTGCTCGAGTGTTTAGACTCTGTAGAAATTAATTTACTTGATTCAAGATCACCAACTGTTTTCATAGTTTTTGATTCACTGGTTTCCACATCACTGACTTTTGGCAGCATAGATTTCAATTTACCAAATTTTAACTCACTGGTTTTTGATTCTACAGTTTTTGATTGATTTGAATCTGAATCATTTGACTTAATCATTGGCTTTACAGTCTTTAATGTACTAGTAACCAAATCTCCGTTTTTTATTATTGGTTTACTGCACTCCAATGTTTTATCTTTTACTGTTGATTTGCTAGGCACCAATTTATCTATTTTTAGCTCTAAAACTTTTGGTTCATTTGCTTCTAAATCTCTATCATTTGTTTCTGTTTTTTCGGATGATAAATTTTTATTTTTTGTGACTTTAGTTTCTGATTTGCTCAAATTCGAGTCGCTTATTGGTACGAGAGGTTTTAAATAGTTAGATTTCAAATCACTGCATTTTGTTTCTAATTTACTACACTTAAAATTATTCACCTTTGCGTCTGAGTTCAAACTATTACTTTTTGATTTCGTACTTAAAGTTTGTATTTCTTTATTCAAGATAATTTCATTTTGCTCCTTTTTCTGGGATATTAAATTATTGTTATAAGGTAAAGGATCAGGAATTTCATAACTATTTTTCGCAGGAATTTCATCGTTACTTTTAAGCTGCTCAGATGGCATAATTTTTCGGACAATTTCATTGGAATTGATGTCTACCGATAACTTATTATTATTTGAATCTTTATTTTTTTTAATTTTATCTTTATGGTTGTTATCACTGCTAATTTTTATGGTACTCTGTATTAAATCGGGAATAGCTTTTAAATGGTTCATATTTTTTTCAGCTTGCACAGTTTTTGCATTTTGAAACTTTGATTTTAAAACTACAGTATGAGATACATTAACCTCAAGACCTAAGTCAGGTTCCTTTAACTTAATGTGCGTTTCAACGTTATCAGGTTTATCAATAGGTTGAATAGTTTTTCCTGGAATGATTGGTTGTTGTGTATTAATTGCACCCACGGAACTTTCTAAAGCAGTTGCTTTAGCATTAACTTCGCTTTGAATAGAAGAAATGATTTCATTTGATTTAGATTTTGGTTGAGGCAATTTACAAATTACAACAATTTCATCTTGATCCTTACTCATTATTTTGACATCTTGACTCAAAGAAATATTTTTTTTCTGTTTTAAAATATCTTGCGACTTAACATCTGTTGGTGTAAACAAACTAGAATTACGAATATCGTTTAAATTTGAGCTTTTGATTTCACTTGTGTTCTCATTATTTTTTATTTTCATTTTAAGTAATGCAGGATTAGATTCATGTCGAAGAGATTTTATGTTATTCTCAGTCGAACTTTGATCGAGATTAGTTTTATTCATGGCTTTAGGAGAAAATTCTTTGGATTTCGGTGTTATTTTTTCATTACTTGATTGTTTTTCAAAATTGGAATTACATTTCACTTCTGGTAGTTTATTCTTGATCACGATATCATCAGATTTTTTATTCTTTAATGCATCATTATTTGTTTTTTGTTTCTGGTCATTTGAAAAATGAGTTGTTTTGGGCTTTTTATTACATTCCACAGATTGTTTATTACTGTCGGCAACTTTTGGTTTATCTAATACGTCAGATGCTGTAAAGCCTGTTTTGGATGCCCAGTTTGCAGAAGGAAGATTACATTTAGAGTTCTGGGATATGTTATTAGATTCATTTTCAGAACTAACATTTTTATTTGCAGAATCAGATTTAGAGACTGGTTGTTTGGATTCTAAGATTTTAATATCCTCTCGAATTTCGTTACTAACATTATGTTTCACTGAAGTATCTTTTAGATCAGCTACGTTTTTTATTTTTGTATTCTCTTGATTAACACGGTTTGGAATAGAAATCATTGCATTGTCATTGCAGTTTAAATCTTTATTTACAATTACGTCCGAATTTAATTTTTCTAGAGGTTTATTAATACTTGATTTTATTTTTTCGGCACTAGTATTATCTAAATCGTTACCTTTCGAATCCAAATTATTTCCGGCTGTTTTATCTGTCCTTTTTCTGTCAATATTCAGAACAGTGGAGTTTTTAATGTAGGAATTTGGAACAGTTTCTGTATCTTTATTAATTATATTCAAAAGCTCATTTTTTTCGCTTGATTTTTCCGATTTACATAACTTATTATGAATAGTATTTGAATCAGAATTGAATTTTTTCTCCTCATTTTTAGATTTGAACGACGTTTTGGTCAATACATCGCTTGGGTGTTTTTCTTCATTTTGCTTATCGTATTTTTTGGGGACTTCTTTTGTCCGAGAATTTTTGGCCTCATTTATGTCACTTTTCAAAGGCATCTCAGAAGGTTTTTTGGTTGCAAGCTGCTCTGAAACACATTGGTTAGGTGAATCAGTAATTTTATATTTAACCGATTTCCGATGCATATGGTTGGTAATGTCAGGTGGCTGTCCCTCATTATCGCATGTAATTTCAGGTCGTCGCCGCCGTCTAATCGGTAAGTCTGCTGACTGAGTGCTCTCGACAGTTTGGGCAAATGACGTTTCTTCGTGGGGCCTATTTCTAACCATTTTATCTTTTATAATAGCGCTGCTATTTAAGATTTTTTCGTCAATACTTTCTATTGATGGTTTATGTTTTTTAATACGACGAGATGAGCCAAGGGATTTTTTTCTAGGAATATGTATGGATTGTAAATCGTTTCTTTCAAGGTTTAATTCAGTACTATTTCTAGGGGATTTAAGACGTAATCGAGACATACGATCGATACTTTGATCTGAAGATCTTCTTGACATAACAGTAGGTGATCCTCGTCTGGATAAACTATTTTCCCTACTTTTAATACGCTCACTAATGTTATCCGCCGCTTCATTTTTTTTCATCTCATTTATAAGAGGTGAATCAATTTCCTCAGGCAAATCCCAAGAAATTTTTCTTCTTACTCCAGTTAAGATATCATTTGTGATTTCACGAAATTTAATGAGTTTTCTTTCTCTAACAAGAGGAGACACGACACTCTCTCTTTCGAGGCGAGATCGTGGCACATAATTTGGTTTTAACAAAGTTCGACTTTGCAAAGCAGGCCCTAAAAAATCTGTGTAATCCGTTCTTTGTGGTTTTTTAATAGTATATGAAGTATAACGAGGTGTCACCAAATCATAATAATTAGTCCAGCTATCATTATGAGGTCTTCTGGAATTAATTACACGTTGAATTCTCGGTGTAATACCTAAATCCAGACCTCGACTAAAATTGCTTCGCCCTCTTAGGTCAGAGAACGGAGAGTGGCTTCTATAATACATATTAATAACCAATGTTAGTATTCAAATAATCAAAATTCAACAGTACCTTGGTGACAGTATTCCAATTAGTCATCAATTCTTAAGAGTTTACTCTCAAGAAAGTACATTCGACAGAAGCGAAAACAAACAGTGCCATCCGTTAACGAGACTCTCTTTGGGTTGACGTCAAAAATGGAGATTCGCCAAGAATACAGCTTGATGGGAGAATGTTTTATTTTTGTTCCTATTCATACTAGAAATATCTCGCGTAGAAAAATCAACAAACCTCGATTCGCGCTAGACAAATCTCTATTGAAAATCACAAAAAGATCTTTTGTTAGAATTCTATCTATAGAAAATGCACCCATTAATGTCAAATTTCATTTGTTAATATCAAAACATTTTAAGCAACAGTACTTGGAAAAATTTGCGTATTTTATTTTAATTAGGAAATTTTTTCAATCAAATTTAAGAACATAAAGCCGTAAAATTTTGGAATACATGCAAAAGGTCAAAAAACTACCAAAATTTAAAACTAATTAAAATTTTTAGAATTCACTAAAGCGGATTCTACTCATTTTATATTTAATAAACATCGTCTTTAATGTTTTCTTAAATACATCAAATCTTTTATCAAAACAACATTTTCACTTATTCAAGGCGGAAAACACGGATGTATTTTTCAGAAAGAGACAGAATACGGTGATTATATGTATAAGGTATTTCAGACAATTGAATAAATATATACATAGTTATTTTCAGATGGTTCTTCGTATGTTGAGCTAAGTTTAAACTTGCACAAAAAATAAATTATGTGAAACAAAATACTTTCTCTTTGAGGTATCTTAAAAAAAAGAAAACAGTCGTGAATTCATTATCTTTCTTACAGGATTTGCTTCAAAATTTATCAATTTAAAGAGAATTGTTGTTGTTTGGCAATATACGCAGTGCATTTCACAATAGCAGCATTATTAAGCGAAAAATGCCCTAAAAGTCAAAGTATAGCACAACTTAAAAACTACATAAGCAATAAAAATTTGCCTTTCAACGAGCTGAACCGGGTTCGAGTCCCAACGATAGCTTACCGATACGAATTCCGTATACGGTTTGCACAGACCACCGTGCTGACGTAAAATATCCTCAGTAGTAGACGGATCATGGTTCAGAATCCTCTTGCAATCAGGCCAACCGTTTCGTGGTTTTCGTGGTTTTTCTCTCCCTGTAATGAAAATGCTGGCTAGTTCCACCAAAAAAGTCCTCTACAAAGGCAAATTTCTCCCATTACTTGATCCAGAAGTTCCCTCGTCTTCTGGATTGGGTTCAAAATTACAAGGCTATGGAGTTGAACATTAGTTGTCGTAAACTCGAAAATCGAGTCAGCTGTTCAACGGAGGTTATAAAATGTAATAAAATAAGCAATTAAAAAGTATGTAGGTACAATATAAATTACACTATCTGAATTCTTGGCGTGAAATTTTCAATTGGATTTAATGCAAATTGCTGCAGTCTGCGAATATAAAAATAACTATTTTTAGAAAACGCCTATTAAGACCACACTTTACCGCAGAAAAAAATTTTTAACGCCGAATTCTCTTTCACCATCATTGGTATTTCGAATTTTCAGGAAAAGTGAGTTCAGGTAAATATAGAGTAAATCAAAGTTTCAAATGTAGAAAAATTTTAAAGCCAAATTCTCTTTCCTTGAATTGGTATTTTGAATTTTCAGGAAAAGGGAGTTCAGGTAAATCTGGAGTAAAGTTTCAAACGTAGAAAAAATGTTTTCAAAATGTCAAAATGCAAACCAATTATTTAACATAACTTCCCCACTGCGTGATCCTAAATAATGCTGCTATCATTTGTTTCAATATTTATATTTCGAATTTTTTTTTCCTTCAGTATTTGAAACTAGATTTACACGAACAAGATTTACAAATTACTTATGTTTGAGAATTTGTCTCTCTTAAAGCTTGAAAAAATTCATTAGAACGCAAATAGCACTTGACGAGTTATTAGAACAAGCATATGTCTATTATTTCTAAATTATATATTTGTAAATATTATTTACATAAACTATAAGTAATTTTTACACTATATATTTGTATAAATAAAAAAGATAGTTATTTTTTAAGGTTTCATTGTCTGTCCTTTAAAATTTTATCCACGTGCAGTGATGATTCGTGCACTTGAAAGAAAAGTTAGGGGGACGTTCAAAAAGTACGTACATCCCGAAGGGGGGGGAGGGGATTTAATATTTTGTACGGTTTTGTACGATGGGGAGGGGGGAGGTATTATACAAAGTACGTACTTTATAAGCATACACCAAATTTAAATTTGACTTTATCCTACACACTCCTTAAGTAAATATTTAATTTTATTTAAAACATAATTATTTTAATTTTTATGAAAAAGGGGGGTAGACTAATAAAATGTACGTACTCTAAGGGGGGGGGAGTAAGACCTTATGTACGGTAATGTACCAAGGGGGGTGAGGGGTTTAAAATTTCTCCATTTTTGTGTACGTACTTTTTGAACGGTCCCTAGAGAGATTTCATTCATTATATAATTTCACAACTCATTCATAAGTATCATCATGGATTACATTATCAAAGATATATATTAAAAATAAAACTTTCCCTCGATTCCCTTTCAATTAGAAACTGAAAGAAATATGCTAGAAATTGTTTTTAAATCCAATTAGAGATTTGTTGTTCCCCACTTTTTACTTTTTCAGGCGTACCATCCCTGCATATGGCAAAAATATTAACTTTAATACACTTGTGTGTTAATATTGACATAGTTAATTCAGATTCACTTTATTTCTTCAAAAAGTTCTGGTGGCGAAGCTTTATATGTATTTTTTTAAAAATGTATATATTATCATTTTGGAAAAAGCTAAGATAGTTGTGTTATTTCACAGTAAATTTAAAAAGAAATACGTCCGCTTAATCGTAAGAATTAACAAAGAATTTGAAGGATTATATAATTATAATAATTTTAGGTATTATATATTTTTAAATTGAATCCTTTGTTAGTTATGAATTTGTAAATTGCAGAAACCTGATATCCAAAAATATAACTGAAAGGGAGATCCTCCCCCCCCCCTTTAAATATTCTTTCAACACTTTTTCAAAATAGATGAAAAAAATTTTCAAAATCGTATTAAAAAAATGGATACATCAAGGAACTTTTTAATACTCTTTTTATGAAATAAGTCAAAAATGGAAATTATAAAATATCCTTTTTATTGAAGTTATTATAATTATAAAATACCCACATAGGAGTTTTTCCGCTTCTATTTGTACGCTCAATTTTCATTCCTTCAAATAAATATCACCATAGTTTACAATGTTCGAAATAAAATTCTAGATTATTTAAAAAATTTATTTAAGAAAATCGTCAATACAAAATTAAAAATGTTGGAAAAAAGGAACAGATTTTGGTTAAATTTTGTGAAATTTAAGTAAACTGAAATTTTCCATATTTTTCAAAATGTTGAAAAAATCTTTTAGAACAAATTAAAACGCAAAACCACTCAAAACGTAATAACTATTGGATACAAATGTAAAATTTAGTACAAGAAATGTTTAAGGACGGTCCAATATTAAAACAAAAGAATTTTGAGTTATGTCACGATATTTAGTTGACTATTATTAATTCGATCATTAGATGACGTAATAATTAAATATTACGTCATCTATAATAAGGCTGTTAGTGATAAAACTACCACGTTTTATGACCACCACGTTCTCTTAGATAGGCAACGCATCTTTTTCTAATTAGTTTTAAAGTAATTAAAATGTATATTTGCATTTTTTTCTAACTGCTTTTTCGATGTTTAGGAAAAATTAATATTTTTTTAAAAGAAAAAATAGCCAACAGCTTGCTTTCATTTTAAAGCAAATCTTTGTATTATTTTAATGAGGAGATTTGATGTTAATATTTACGTAAACAAGTACATAAAGATAGTTAAAAATCCTCTTTTTTATTAAAACTCCTCCTTTGGCAAAATATTAGACTAGACAGGACAGAGCTTAATTTCTAGATCTAAACTATTCAAATTGTTAGATATTTTAGGAATGTTACTAATTGTTACTGATTTTGTTATTTGATTTACGTAGCTCTAAACATTTAATAAGCTAAGCAATTTTTGCTTAATTTTTAAACATTATCGATTTAAAACTAATCTATGTTTTTAAACAATAGGCAGATACTTATTGAATCGTCAATAATTAAATAAAAAAATATCTAGCTAAATTTGCTGTCTACATGCTTGCTTTTATAATGATGGGTAGCTGTAATAGGTACAAATCCTCGGTAAAAATTAATACTATTTTTAAATAAATATTCATTTAACGTCATATGTCTAATTTATATAATGGTATATTTAATAATTAATGGATTAATAAATAAGTTATACATAATTAATAATGAATGATTAATTGATAATTAATAATTTAGAAATAATTAATAGTTAATTTAATGGTATATTTCTTTTTTATTTTGCTTACAATTGAAGGTGTTTAAAATTATATTTTATGTTACAGCATAATAGTGGAAAAAATAAATAACATTTGTCTGCCCAAAATATTAAAAATCAAACGAAAAGACATTTCTCTCACGCAAACTTGCACATTACTTTAAAAAATATACTGAAAGCTATTACAAATATGATACAAAGAATTCATTTACATATCTTTGCACTTTTCAACTGAGCTAAATAAATATTTTTTTAAAAAATTTATGTACTTTCCAATAGTTCGATCAAGCAAAAACGCTTCAATTTGAAATTTGAAGTAATTTATAATTTATCTCAAATATGTTAATAACTAATGCTAGGCATTAATTAAAATACGGAATAACAATCAAAACAGTACTTTCTCAGATAAAACATACCTATCAAAGTATGAAGATATCCGTAAACTACAAAAATATGGTTCTAGTAATCAGGAATGTTTCGTCAACTTTATGTCAATTTCCGTTTTTACATATTTTGTTTCATCACAGAAGCTGTTAAGCAAACTGAAAACTTCATGCTCGCAATTATAAAATTTGTCAAACCAAAGATAATTAATTCCTTATGAAAAATAATCTGTATTAATTAATGTTTTATTTAAAAATGATCGTCAAATTTCGAAATGTCATGTAAGATATACAAATCTTTACATCATTTTGAACTATTTAATCTTTAAAGACAAAATACTAAATTTGAATTTAATTAATCAAATAGCTCATGATTTAATCAATATTGCTCAAGTTCTATATTTTGCAACTTAAAATTACATCAAAAATTATATAAAACATATATACCGCATAATTTAAAATGTTTCGTACTTACTATAATAATTATTAAAACTTATTTATTTCAT